AAAAAAAAAAAAAAACACGGGTAGAACACTCAAAACTGGGGGGTTGGCCAGGCTCGGTGGCTCACGCCTGTACTCCTACTGCTTTGGGTGGCTGAGGCAGGAGGATGGCTTGAGGCCAGGAGTTTGGGACCAGCCTGAGCAAGAGGAAGAGACGTGGTCTCTGGAAAAAATAGAAAAATTAGCTGGGCATGGTGGCACTTGCCTGTAGTCCCAGCTACTCTGGAGGCTGAGATGGGAGGATCGCTTGAGCGCAGGAGTTTGAGGTTGCTGTGAACTGTGATGAGGCCACTATACTCCAGCCTGGGCGACAGAGAGATCCTGTTTAAAAAAAACAAAACAAAACAAAAACAAACAAAAAAAAAAACAAGGGAGGCGATTGTCTTCTAGTACAATGGATTAGCTAGAGTTGCATGTGCAGCTCTGGGCACTGATTATTTTTTTCCTTTTCTAAAATGGTAAAATATACACAGAATAGTGTATAAAACATATATATGTAACTTAGAGAATGATTTTAAGGAATAAATATCTGTGTTCACTGTCCAGGTTTAAAATGTAGGGTATTTATTTTCAGTATCTTAAAGCCCTTTATGTGCCCTTCCCTGATCACATCCTTCTTTTTCTACTCTTCCTCCCTCACCAGATGTAACTACTATCCTGAAATTTGAGGTACTCATTTCCCTTGTTTTCCTTTATAGTTTTACTAATCACAAATGCATCACTAAACAATTATATTGTTTAATTTTTCCTGTTCTGAACTTTTTGTAAATGGAACCTGGCTGCATGTATGTATGCTTCTGTGATTTGCTTGTTTTAACATTGGGTTTTTGAGATTCATATATGTGGGTACATGTCGTTGAGGTTTATTTACACTGCTATATAATATGCCATTGCATGAATATACTTTAATTAATTTATTCATTCTACTATTGATGGATATGATGATGGAATGACACACATATACTACAGTTTTTTAAGGTATATACCCAGGAGCGGAATTCCTGGGCCCTGAGATTTGCACATGTTTAACTTTACTATGTAATGCCAAACTTTGTTCTGAAGTGATCAACTAAATGTACACTCCAATGAGCCATGGAAGTGGATGAGAGTTCCACTTCCTCCACATGCTTCCCAACACAGTATTTTCCAGACTTTTTAATTTTTATGATTCTAGTGAGTGGGACACACTATTTTATTATGATTTTAATTTGCATTTCCCTGATTAGTGATGAGGTTGAGCATCTTTTCATTCAACTACTGGCCATTTGAGTTTTCTCTTTTGAAAGGAGCCTATTCTACTTTTTGGCCTACCTTTCTATTGGTTTATTTTTCTTGTGCTTATAGATTCTTAGAGTTCTAGGCCAGACGCAGTGGCTCGTGCCTGTAATCCTAGCACTTTGGGAGGCCGAGGTGCAAGGATTGCTTGCAGTCAGGAGTTTGAGACCAGCCTGAGCAAAATCAAGACCCCGGATCTACTAAAAATAGAAAAATGAGCCAGTGGTCTGGCACACGCCTGTAGTCCCAGCTACTCGGGAGGCTGAGGCAGGAGGATCGCTTGAGCCCAGGAATTTGAGGTTGCCGTGAGCTATAATGATTCCACTGCACTGTACCCAGGGCAACAGAGAGAGACTCTATCTAAAATAAAATAAAATAAAAATAGAAAAATTAGCCGTGAATGGTGGCACATGCCTGTAGTCCTAGCGTCTGGGAGGCTGAGGCAGGAGGATCGCTTGAGCCCAGGAGTTTGAGGTTGCTGTGAGCTAGGCTGACGCCACGGCACTCTACTCAGGACAACGGAGTGAGACACTCTCAAAAAAAAAAAAAAATGTACATCTACTCACAAAGTCCCCAGGAATGAATAAATCTATTCTGCCTGCCTCCTCTGGGCGGAACTGTGTTATTAGCTTAGGTAGACCAGCCCCATCTATGAGAACCACAGGGGTTTTCCCTGTTGGGGTTTTTACCCCTTCAGGAAATAGCAGTCTCCTTGGGGGAAAAAATTCTCTTTCACCATCTTATCAACATGACCTAATGTGAAGCGTTGCCTTCCTTGGTAAGAGATGTGCTAAGGTTTCTCCTAAGAAACATAATTAGGCTGGGGCTATAAACAGATTACCTCAGGAGAAGCAGGGAGAGAAGTGTGTGTGTGTTAACAAACCACCTCGAGGTGGACTTTCAGAACAGTTGCCATATCCGCAGGCTGCCATTTGGGCCTCAGCCAGGCTAGCTCTGAACTTCAATATATCAGTTCCCCTGGAGGATGATCCGTGATTGATGGACATGATGATGGCTCTGGGGAGAGCTTGATTGGCTGGAAGGACAAGTGAAAAAAAGGGCAAAATAGAATGCAAGAAAAAAATGTAACAAGTATAAATGTACACCTTCCTTCAAAATAAAACAGAG